CAAATTTAAATATTTAATTAGATTACACAAAAATTGAGACTTGAGCATTCGCATGCCGGTGATGAGAACCTAGAATTATTCGAAAAAACGAAGTTTGAAATGGTAAAACGTTTTTAAACAATGTCAACTCTTTCACACATTTTCTTCGAGGTTATTAATTTGGTACCAAAACAGGCTTTAATAGCCTTTTCAAACGAAAAAACAACAAAATAAATGTTTTTACGCATGACGTTAAAAAATAAAGGTAATCCTAAAAATCCTGTTTGTCAGAACTTATAAAGTTTGGCCTGTGCAAAAATTGATGGCATAAAGTACTTGAAATCAATTTTTACACTCGAAAATACAGACATAATTGATTATTTTGATACGACATAATATATTACCTACTGGAACATACAGAAAAGTCGGGTTTTTAAAATTCAGACAAAATAAGCCATTACATCCACCCGAAACATGGAACGTACATGATATTACATTACATTTTAGAAACCGTGCTAATAATATTTGCAAAAGCTTGAACAATACATTTGCGCATTTAATCGAACATAGTCATCCAACAATCTGGAAGCTGGTTATCAAATTTCGCAAAAAAATGGGGGGTATATATAGCAAAAATTTTACATGACATGAATCCATAAGAAAAAAAAACACGGATCAGAATAAATTATAAAATTACAATATTTATATGCACAAAATAGAAATAACTAGCTGTCCCACGCTCGGCATTACTCATGCCATAATACTATTTTATTACCTTTATTTCCGTATTGCTTTGTCCGTATCAGTATATTGAACTAAAAAAAAATAGGTAAAAAGTGGAAAGTCCGCGGACTAAAAGTGTTCTAGTGTAGGCATTGTACATTTTTTCATTCTTGTTACCATGATACCTGCACACCACATGGATTAAACTCTATATCCACTATAATAGCACTAAAATTATGAGGGTATAATAATATTGTAGTGTTGTTACTGTACCAAAAATACAAAGATTAAGAGATGAAGTTTTACGTGTTTTCACTTACCTACCCTGTACAGCACATAGAGTTATATTGTTTTTTTTATCCGTGTTACTAAGATAGCCCATCCTATTTCAAGCCAATAATTAACCGGTAGTGTCAGATATAGACTCTTTATTTTAAGTTGTTATAGTTGTTTTGGCATTTTTATTTCTGTTATTCATTTCATCCGTGTTACTATGATAATCCATAATTCAAAAAAAAAAAAATTCAATTTTCGTAACAAAAATACTTAAAATCCTTTCATCTTCTATTTCATTTCCTTCAAGTTTTATTTTCGTGTCAAAAAGTAGCCTACATTTTTCTCCAAAGTCACATCTATCTCTAAACCGAAATTCATTAAAATCTGTTCAGTAGTTTTTGCATGAAAGAGTAACAAACATTCATATTTATAATAATATTAGTACCTAGGATTAGTTGACAGTAAAATAATTTTTAAACTGCATAGGTCATTGTTTAAGAAAACGTAACTTATTTTAAATTTATATTATTATAATATTATTGTAGAATATAAACGTAAGTCTTTTTGTCCATGGACTTTCTGTCATTGAATTTTCGTCCGGGATTTATGCTGTTATTATTATAATTTATAAACAATTTATTATTTAATAGTTGTCACTTTATCACAAATTACCTATAATAATTAATATTACTAATATTATTAACTGTTAGTTACTTTATAACTAAATTTAAATTTTATATAAATCGAGATCAATTTTCTTATCAATTGCAAAAAAAAATTATTCATGTTCATGAATTAAATGTACAATGAAATTATAAGTCATTAGGATAATTTTTTCTTAATAATCAAACACATTTAGGTACTATTAATTAATAAAATAAATAAAAATCTTTACAAAGTTTGTGGAAGTTAATTATTATTATTATATTATTAATACTATTTAGGTAAACATTTATCACAAAAATGCCAGCCTCTTTTTTTATTATTGGTTAATTCAACTAGCACTTTATTATAGGTAATTGATTAATTTTTGTTCATTAATTGTATAGTCAGGTCGTAATAATCTCGGAATCTATTTTTCATCGTTAATAAAATTTACTGTCTTTATAGGTACATTTAATATATTGATATGTTTTAATAATATAATTGATATAATTAAATTTGTTTGTTGATAAAGTTATTTATTTTTTTCATGATTTCAGTTTACTGTATGAGGTGAGCATTGCACATACGTGAAACTTCATAAATACTTATCTATAGTACAACCATGCGACGAGTGTTGGAATATAATCTAGTCTCTAAATACTAGAGATCGATTAATTCGAATAGACCGAAAACCGATGTGGTGGTGCTGCTACGATGTGGAATCATAATGACCATCGTGGCACATTGAAGGATGCCAACACTGTTTATAGAAAATATGGCTGTATTATTTTTTACAAGCAGCAACAGTTCCAATTGCTACTAAAAATGTAGCTGTGAAAATAGCAGTGATTGTAACTTGGTGTTATGAGTTATGAATACTAGTAGCAGTAATAGCAATAAAAGAGTAAGCAGTAGAACTATCATATTTATATTGGAGTAGCAGTCTGTGATTGCTACTTTGAAATCGCATGTGCAAATTCACTGTTATCACTAGCTTATAGAGTTATAGCGTTATCCACGGATTAAGATGATAAACTAATATAATATAATGGGCTAGTATCGATAGCAGTTTATCAGTGGATATTTAGTGGAATAATAGGATAATAGGATACTAGCACAGATATATGTATATACATTGTATATATATTGTAAATATCTGTGGATCATCCACAGTGGGTGCAAGAGACAAGTGATAGGGGACTCAATGCAGATCACAATTTACAATGCCATTTGTTGACTAAATTTTTAACATTTAAATTATAACGTGATAATAGTAGTAGAGTTCCAAGTACCAACTAGGTACTAATTTAATAATGATATTTAATTTAATTTCTGAAACAATATTACGAATAAGTATTTATTATATCGTCATTTCAAAAATGTTCAGTACATACTCGAAATAGGTATAGCTGTTTCCTCGCAGTTAACATTACTTAATAGTAGCGATGTTACTAACCTTGATTTTTAAAGTCGAACTGAACCAAATCAAACTTTTTTTAAAATTAACGAACTCAAACCGAACCGAACCTACGCATTTTTATCCGAACCCGAACCGAACCGAATTTTAAAAATATTTTATCGAACTCGAATATTAAAAAAGTAAAAAGTAAGGTTAGGTTAGGTAAATAACCTAGGTTCTCAAACTGCTCGGCTTCGTGATTTACGATTACAAGACCCACTAATGCATGCTAATACCTACTCTGTCTCACAACAGTATTGTTGACCGTGTAGAATCGGCGTCGAATGATTTTTAAACCGATCTATTGGGTATTTGGTTCGGTTCGAAAATCAAACAGTTTGTTAAATCTCTACTTAATAGTAATTTCCAAGTAATTCAATTTTGGATTTGTGTACCTAGTGCATCGACTAGAGTATCCGTTTACTCTTCACTTACGCGTAATCATTAATTTAAAATTGTTTTAATAATAAATAGGTACACAAGTTGTAAGCTTAGTTGTAAAAATATTTTATTCTATATTATTTTGGCGGTCTATTATAATAATATAGCGAATAAAATATTATTGTGGTTTAAATATAACCACTGGTAGCGCTAAAATTCTAAAACCATATCTGTGGTATAAACATTATAGCTGATCAATTGATCATAAGCCACGGAGGAAAAAACAAAATAATTTATCATTTTAAAGCCCGTTTTTTAAATTTAAAAACATGGGTTCCGGTTATTTTAAAATATTTAAATTCGGTTCCGGTTCCCAATATTTTTTGGGTTTTTGGGTTCCAGAACCGGTTCTTTTCAGTTAAGTTTCAGTACCTGATATATATATATATAATTTATAAATTTACTTTGTAATTAATACCTAACTACCTACTCCTAAAATATCAATGTATTTATCAATAAGTATACATTTTGTGTATATGAATATCAACAAAATAAAATTTAGTTCACCCCCCTCCCTCCCATAGGAAAAAGCTGAGCACGCCACTGCTACCGGGGATCATGCAAAAACAATGCTTACGCAGAATAAGTAAAACTAGCTTAATTTTGATTTTAGAGAAAAAGTACCTATTATGAAATGTATAGAGAACAATATTTTGGATGGAATTTCATAGGGATTTTTATTTTTATATATATACAGCTCTATAAAAAAGATACCTACAAAAACCTTTTTTTTTGTGTGTATTAAATAACTGTAATTTTTTTAATAGTTCATAATTTAAAAAATACCTATGACTTTCTCTCCAAAAGATTGTTCTCTATAAAATTTCATAATAGGTACTTTTACTCTAAAATCAAAATTAAGCTAGTTTTACTTATTCTGCGTATTATTGTTTTTGCATGTAACGAGGTAGTCGAACCGAGACAATAGATGCGGGTAACATCCTCTTAACAATTTATACAATACTTGAGATTTAATATTAAAAATTAATGAAATCAAAATTGATATGTAGATAGGTGAATAGTATGGCGTATAATCCGCCTCAGTACTAAATATTAAATAACTTAAATAGTTATAAATTTGTATCTCAATTATTACCAAGGAGTATTATAAAACTGCATGAATCTCATTGACAAATTCAGCTGTCTCGCACATATGATACTGCTTATATACATACATTTACTCATGCGCGATGTGGATGCACTGTCTATACACTATACGGCTATGGGCTACAGTTACAGTGTCGATGAGTACATTTTACGTCCTGCGGTCATTCGCTCGCCACGTCGGTACTATTTTATTTATTTTAGTCCGTGGCGATCATTTCTAACTTGGCATTTCCGAATGGGCTTTTGTATCATATTATTAATATTATCACAATCTTAAATTTGTACTAATACCCAATAGTCAACTCTATTTATACATATTATATTTATAAAATAATTATCAGTTTTAATCTTCTGAACACAATTATTAATCATGGCCGATGATCCTCATTGCCAATATTTTGATTGTTTTAAAACGACAACAGAAAATCCAGAATTATCTATGTTTAAATTTCCCATAGAAGAGAGCATGCGTAATATTTGGTTACATAATAGCGGTAAGTATTTTTAAAATAACGTGGTTTTTATTAATTTTTTTTATTAAATTATCGTATATAATTAATTACCATTATACGTTTCTGGCAAAATATTATCAGTAATGTGTCCCTCATTTTCTTACAAGGAAACGTCAAGTTACTTTCATTTCCTAAAGAAGAGCTGTTCCACAAAATGATTTGTGAACTACATTTTCGACCTGAAGATATCAAGAAGCCAAAGAAAAAAGGGTCGACCAAAGAATTGAAAGTAACGGCTGTCCCTTACGATTATAACTTGGAAAAGTCTACTGCAGCAGGTATGAAATAAAAATATTTGTTTATTAATAATTAATGATAATATAATTAATTAAAAACTGTTGTTTTTTTGATAACTGTTCACAACCTAATTGAACCCAATTATTACAGTGGCGTATCTGTGGGGGGGGGGGGCGAATGCCCATTCGCTTCCCCCGAGGGTCGTATAATTATATATGACAATATGTGTGCATTGTTTTATTTTTTAATTTTTCAGACAATTTTTTATTTTAAGAATAAAAATATATTTCGCCTCTCCCCCATTGTAAGAGAGGGCCAGGACGCCACTGAATTATTATTATTTTTTCCTTGTGCCGTATATGAAAAATTATTTGAAAATTATATATAAGCAATCTAGGTCTTCCAAGTTTTATATTATAATCAAGTTTATCACAGTAGCGTAGTTATAATTTTGTTATTACCGTAAACCAGTGTTTCCCAACTAGTGGTCCGTGAGCTTGTCAGGTAATCCGCGGTCCCATAGATTTTATCTTATTTTTTTTGCTCGTTCATTTCTAAAAATTACGAAAAAATATAGTATCCATTGTTTTTCCACTTTTAAAAGTGTTTATCAAAGTAATGAATAATATTATTATTATTATTACTGCCGACGATCGATTAGTGTGTTTCAAATTTTATAAGAGTGTAGGTACCAAAGGTTTATTACTTTGATAAAAGTATTTATTAAATACTATTAAATAACTATTTATTAAATATTATTATTGCGACCGATAATATTTTACCGATTGCATAGTTTCTCAAATATTTAGTTATGAGATTAATCAAATTTTTACGTTTTTACGTATTTTTACTGAGTATTCAACTCCAATTGGATGACCTTTCTCAATGATTCATTTTTTTATGAACTGATATACAAATATTTACAATAAAATGTTTTGTTTACAAATTCTGACATTATTTTATTTTATACAATATGCTAGTCTATCATGAAGTATTTTGGATAATATATTATTTTATTTTGTAATAAACCATACCTAATATTAATATAAACATGTGAATTATAGACTAAATTAATCTTAGGGATCGATACTATGTTCCTAAATTTTGTTTGACTATTTTACACTTATGTAAGTTCACATGTTGGTAATTTTATATATATTTTTAGGTTGGTATACTTGTTTAAAATTATTATGTTTAACAAATAAATTGTAGTTGGACGTGTATAAAACGTTATTAGTGAAAAAGAAATTGTTTCCATTATTATCAAAATAATTATTATTTACAATTTTGTTTCTCCTGAACAATTTTAAAAAGTGAACTTATCTAGTTGTTACAGGGAGCCCTTCAATTGAGGTGGTCTGCGAGCTATGAAAAGTTATCGAAATTGTCGGTGGTAGTAAAAAGGTTGGGAAACACTGCCGTAAACAGTTATATATTTTATTCTAATATACACCCACACTTTTTCAAGCAAATAACATTCATAAAGGATAATACTTGATAAGCATTATAAAACTAAAAACAAATTATTATTATTTATAATCTAAGATTTATTTTATAAAGCCTTCTAGCTAGTAGCGCGTCTATTTATTTCTCATGGTCGAGTGCCACAAAGAATAGTTTTTTATTAATAAAATGTAATGACAATCAATGTTTAAAGTGTTAGTAATATTTGTTTTTATTCCACATATAGTATTTTTAGAGTGGATAACATTCAGTGAGATGGATACAGGTAATGTGCATACAATTTCTATTATATAAAATATGGTCGGAAATATTTTATCACCACACTCGGTAAGAGCTGGAAAAACCAATTTTAAAACTGTATTAGTTTTGCTAAGTTTGCTCTACAATAATTTCAGCTCAACAAATGAAATATCAAAATTCTGTACTTCTGGAGAGTAAAATTCAATTATTATTTTAAATAAAGTTTCTTTGGCCTTTAGTTAAAACTGAAATTTTTTAATAATAAACATTCAAACCTTACAAAAGAAAACAAAATACACTAATTAATTATAATACACATGTATTGTAAATATTATAATATATTTAACATTTTATTATTATTTTATTATACTATACCTTTAAAAATGTCAGAGTGCGACAAAAATCTGTCTTCCAGTTCACTAATGAAATAATCAATGTAGGGGACAAAAACAGATATTGTGGAGTATACAGTGGAGTATAAAAGCTTATGGTTTTACAACGATGTTTATTTATTTCATTTATCTGTGAACAACTTTTCAACTAGACATATTTCTCCAGTATTTCAAGCAGATTATTTTTTGATCTTCTCAGAGGTTTTCTCAATATATTAGAAAAACCAGGAAAATAGGTACAATATTAAACAGATATTATTAAAGAAAATGTTTAATGCATATATACTTACTTTCTCATAATATGACATATATATTGTTGACAAAGCAACACTATTAATTGAACTTCATTTAAAATTATTTTTTAATATATTCCTTACTATTTGTACCACTATTTTCAATACAAGACAGTAGAACAATATTACGTTTTGATGTATTGAAAAAAAACGTACAACTTTTCTATAATTCCCAAACAATTTCTTATAAGTTATATGCCACTTGCAGTTGAGAATGCCAAATTCAGAAAATGAACTGCTCAATGCTTTTTGATGTTTTACTCTTAGATTTAAATACAATTGAACACATAATATGTGATCTGCCATATTACTGGCACCTTCATAACCTTGACCATATAAATAATTGCAGTCAATTCCACAAATTATCTATCCCATTGCACCAAGTTAAAATTAAAACCAATATAAATTATTTTACAAACATGTAATTACCATTCAGAATAAGAGTCAGCTAAATTATTTCTCATCAAATTTTGAACAGGAATACATTTTTGAAAACTTTCATTCACTTTTTTAGTTTTGTCAACATATCTATCTCATAAGGCCAACTGTTCAATCACTGATATATCAGTAGTTTCATCAGCTAAAATAGTAAAAAGTATATACTTTCAAGTTACGCTTTTCCTTTTTTTTTCATATATTTGAAATGTATAACTAGATGATAGTACCTATATGTATATTAAGTAAAATCTAAAAAAAATCAATTTTTAATTACGTATTTATTTAATTTTTAAATCAAATCAATGTCATTGCAAGATGTTTATCTTTATTAGAAATCAAATTTTTTCCTACAGATAAACGTTAATCTTTTTTGTGATATTCAAAGAATCTTTTATAAATTAATAAAATATTAGGCAATAAGTAATAAGGATACTGTATAAAAAATGTTAAATTAACATTTACTTAAACATATCACATTAGAACAAGCTCATGTTTATTTAGCATGCATCAATGATTTTAATTGAAACTTAGGTACTTAAATTCTTAGGAAATTGACATGGGAGACCATCACTTTTTATAGAACTATCAAAGTCAGAATTAACTGGAGCCCTTGCCGATTTTATTTATCCAGTTTTAAAATTAAAAAGAACAAATTTATAGAATTATTACTTACAAAAATACAATTTTCAAAAAGTTCAGTTATGAGTCTTACACTCTTACCTCATCTTCGGTTCTTTTAGTTCTCTGTTGTTTTTGTTTTTTTTATTTTATTAAAAACGAAAGAATAGTGTTCTTTTCATGTTCATAAGTACACAAATACAAATTTAATTTTAAGTTTTAAACATAACATTAATATATTATGCATGAGCACGAGTCCGTCCCCGTGTATACATATAATACATAACCTTAAAATAAGTCAAGAACTACGAAAAGAATTTGAAATATTGATAATAGCTAAGAATGATAAAATGTTAGGATTTAACAGTGTTGTCACAGCAATAGGAAGTGTTTTGGTATTTATCACGAATTAATCTGTGGTATTTACTTATCATTACTTATTACACTACTTATTACCATGGTTAAAGATATCTTTAATTGTACTCAGTGTGGCGTCCGCGGATTAAGATATCTTAAATCATAGTGGCGCCGAATTTCACGAACTCATCAATGACTTTTATAAACATATCTAAAATACAAAAGTATTTAAACACTTACCAGTTCAGTAGTGTAAAAATACTTCACTATACATTATTTTTGTAAATAAATATCATTACTGAATATTTATTTTTTTCTTCACCCGATACTCAAGTATCCACAATGTCCTCTTAATATTTAATAGTAATAATAATTATAATAATGATCAAAAATAAAACACATTTTATACACTTGATTTTCCCTCTAATTTGTCCATTGATGACATATTAAAATAATTTACAAATGATTAAATAGTAATACTGTATTTGCATTCCTTTCTGGTCTTTAATATTTTATATTGACGTAATACCTTTTATTATTAGTATTGGCCTCCCTATATTACTCTTATATACTCTATTATTATAGCAAAAACGATAGAGAATTATCGATATTTAACGGTTGTTGTTATTATTATTATTACATTGTGTCCATTATGAGATAATAAATATTTAATTGATATAAAAATTGTGAATACTTTTATCGATGTTGATTATAACCTATTTTGCAATCGTTTTCCTCACCTGTAAATGGTTGACGACTTTAAATTGTTGTCAACTCAGTATCCAAAGTTTGCTCTCTAGTTATTTTATATTATATCTATTTATCAAGTATATCTTACATACATAATAGAAGAATTCCATAACAATTATTTATAAGCATTTCCTGATATATAGCCTGTCACACTATACAAAATTTGCCATCATAATATATATTATGTATTATATATTATTCCATATACATAGTAGAGAAATTGGGATCCTGGCGCATCAAATATTTTCACTTTTATAAACTAATTTCTGATCTCTGTTCTAATTGTTTTCACATTGTTCTTTGTTCACATACTTATATTAAACAAATGTTTAAAATAATTAAATTAAATTATTTTTAAAATTAATATTTAATTAATAAATTTAATTTAAAAAAAATATTTATTTTTTGGATAATCTGAAAAATCAAATTCATTTAAAAATTGTTCATTGTTTTTTACATAGTTATCAGTTGTAATTTATACTATTGAAGAAACTGTATCTGCGTATAATAGTTTAATATTTATTCCATATAATTTTTTTAATACATTATAATAAAAATCATACATTTGAGTTTCAGATAAATCTAAAATACACATTCCTAAATAAATTGGTTGTTTAATTTAACCAATTTTTTTTTTTGTACAACTACTAAGTTTTTTGTAAAAACAGTCGTTCAATCAAAATTTGGTTTTAGTAATCCACTTTTCTATATTTCTTTTGACATTAATTAATTGTACATGTTTATGGTTTCTTGTGTTCATCATAGTCCTACTAAATACACTGTTGTTCATTAACTTGTATAATCTTTTTCGAATTCATTGTCTGTTTTTGTTTGTTTTCATTGTCTATATTTGGTTTTGATCAAATTTTATTACCCTATGTGTTTTCTCTATTTTTAAACATAAACTTAAATACAGCCTAAGATTAATATCTCTCTCTCTTGGTATTCAACCCTTAAGGTTAGTTTTGCAGTTGGATATGCTCTCTCCACTCTTCCCTGTTCCCAGTTTAACCTCTTCAGTTTGGCGTAGCTTAATAGTCTAGCATCGAAAATCATTTGTTTGACAAATGAAGTTCTTGGACATTCTTGGCCCCCCTTTTATCTTCTATTTTCCCTTCTATTATTCTGTAGATAAGCTCATTTTCGTGCTTTAATATATGATCAATCATATTCCATCGTCTTGCTCTGATGGTTTTGAGTATCTCTCTGCTTTCATTTATTTTACTGAGTATGCTTTCATTGGTACGGTGTTCTATCCAACTCACTCTCAGCATCCTTCTCCAACACCATATTTCAAAGCTTTTTGAGTATTCGTTGTTCTGTCGTATTCAGTATCCATGTTTCGCAGCTATATAGTGCCTTACTCCATACATACATTTTAATGAAGCTTTTCCTCACTCTGATATTCATGCTATTGAAGCATAACAAATTTTTCTTATTCATAAATATGCAGACTTTGCCTATGTGATTCTGGATCTTATTTCCATGTCGCATTTTCCATCTTGGTTGATTAAATCGCCTAGGTATTTTTAAATATTGCACTTGTTCGAGCAGCTGATTCTCTATTTAGATATTAATTTTACGGATTTGGTCTAATTTTTGGCACATCATAACTTAAAGATTTTGCCAGTTGATAATCGAGTGCTCTTTTCAGATCATGCTCATTGTTAACTAGGAGTGCAATATCGTCAGTGAATCTTAAGATGGATATTATTTCTTCACCCGCTTTTATGTCTATTTTATTTCTAAAAAGTGTTTCTCTAATTTCTTTAATAGGCTGTTTTAATAGGATGTGGACATCCTTGTCTGACACCTTTTACCTATTTATCGTTGTCTCTGTTTTGTCTGTAACTTTTATTGTAGCTGATTGGTCTTTGTATAAATAATATATTATACTTCCATCTCTGTAGTCAGCCCCTATTCCTTCTAAAGTATAGAATAGATCTTTCCTTGGTACCTTATTGAAAGCTTTTTCCAAATCTATAAGCGCTATAAATGTGTATTAAATTCTATTTGTTTTTCTATCAATATTCTTAAGCTTAAGATTAATTCTCTAGTACCTTTATTCCTTCTGAACCCGAATTGGTCATCGCTTAACTCTTTTTCTACTATGCTCTCAATTCGCGTGCATATTATCTTTACTAGGATTTTGGCTACGTGCGCCATTAAACTTATTGTTTAATCAATTGTTAATCTGAATTAATTACATTTATCAGCCATTGCTTTTTTAGGTATAGGTATCATAATACTTTCCTTGAAGTCTTTTGGGATCTCTCCTGTAGTGTATACATCATTCACTAATTTGAATAGCTCGTCTTGTACACGCATTTTGAATAAGTTCTATTGCTATGTCGTCTATATCGGCTGCTTTACCTGTTTTCATTAAGTTTAAAGTTTTGTTGAACTCGTCTCTTAAAATTACTTCTCCTAGAATATCTGGATTATTATTATTATTGAGACTCCTCCTCTCTGGTATTCCTGGAGCATCAAGATATTGTTTCCATCTTGTTGCTATTTTGTCGTTGTCCAGTATCAAGTTTCCATCTACCACTCTTATTCTGCTTTTAAGTTTTGTTTTTCTTCAAAAGAATTTCTTAATTATGTTAAATGCTTGATCCTTCCTGTTATTCCTAAGCAATTGTTCCATTTCTTGGTACTTTCCTTCTAACCATTTCTCTCTTGCAAATGTTGCCTCTATATTAATTTTGTTCTTAAATTCTTTATATCTCCGTATTCCATGATTATCCTTGTCGTTTTTATACTTCCTTCTCTCTTCAATATCTCTTATAATGTTATCGTTTATCCATGGTTTCCTAGGCTCTGGTGAGTTTCTTTTCAATGTGTTGCTGGCTGCATCATGTATAGCATCCTTTATTTTATTCCATTTGTCTTCAGTAGTGTCACTTGGTAATGGTTTAATTTTAATTTTTTGTTGGTGTAGAATATATAGGCTGTATTTATGTTATTATATTTTAGCATTCTCAAGTCATATTTCCTTGTTTTTGAGTTATTCTTGTTAGTTTCTTATGCACTACATCACATTTTATCATGAAAAGATTATGGTCGCTGTTCACGTCAGCGCCTGGATATGTTTTGCATCTATGTACTTGATTCCTGAACCTCTTCCCCAATATCTTTTGATATCCCCTGGCATTTTCCAGGTATATCTTTTTCTGCAGTGAATATTTTGGAATGTATTATGTATGGTCATATCATGTTGCTTGCAGAAGTCTACTAGGCGGTCTCCTCTTTCATTTCTAGTTCCTAGCTCGAATGCATCTACTTCTTGATCCACTGCACCTTCCCCTACTATAGCATTCCAATCACCCATTATTATTAAGTTATCTTCTCTTTTTGCTAGTTTGCAAAGTTTTTTTAGATCAGCATAGACCTCTTCTAGCGTCATCTGCATCTGATGTGGGAAAATACACTTTGATTAATACAATATCATTTGGTTTAGCTCTAAGCTTAATCAATATAAGTCTATTGTTATATGTTATTTTGTTCATTATTTGGTAGCCCTATTTCTTATTTATAATAAATCCTACATTCACTCGTCCTGGTGTTTCATTACCAGAATAGATAACGCGGTAGTCGTCTGACTAGAAATCACCATTTCCTGACCATCTAACTTCACTCACACTTAGTATGTCTATGTCTAATCTCATCATTTCTAGTTCAATATTCTGTAACTTGCTAGCATTTAGCATGGTCCTAATGGTTCCACGTTCTACGTTCCGATGTTTTTCCATAAGTTTTGTTTAACGACCTGAGAAGCCTTGGATCTTTCCCTACCAGTACTGATATTTCTGAGTATATCTGTTCCTGTAACTTTTAAATTTTCCTTTAGATTTTCCTCTACTTGATCCATACTACTTTACTAGAAATTTTAATGTGGTAGATTCCTTCTCCTTTCACACCCCAGTTGATGAGCCAGTACTTGAAATAACTTCAAGATGCCTCATCAATTCCTTCCATTGCTGTTAGTTCTGTTGGCCGCTAATGGTCGGTAGTAGCAGTTACTGCTTCCCCCCGCTAACCTCCTTTTAATCACCTTTTACGATAAGCAGGAGCTACGGTATATTCTGACCCCGACCTACAGGGGTTAAGATTGATATACTATGGAACATATTTTTTTTTATCTTTTATTATATAGAGTAGTTGTTAATTTTGGTAATTCTTTATTATCAAATACATTTTCGGGAGCCAGTGGATAATCTGAATGAAGATTGTGAAGCTTTTTAGGATATTTTAAATCTTCTTCAAAAATATAACCATTTTCCTGGTCATCTTTCATTTTTAAAATGTTTGTATCAAACCAATCAGGGTTATTCTATTTAAATTCTTTATGAGGTAAATATTTACACATTCACATTCATAGAGATTATTTGCATACAAATCTAAGAGATATTTCGTTAATGTTTGTTCTTTTTTGTAATTCTTTAATATATTTATTATTTGCTTTAGAATATCTAATACTACATTGAAATAAACTTTCTATTATTCTCTGTTCAAACATTAAATACATGTCAATATCTATTGACAGTTCAAATCCTACACCTGTTTTTCTAAGCATAGCATTCCACGCAAAACCTGGAGTTATAAATTAATGAACAGGATCCAACTTAAAATATTTTAATGAAACATCTCTATAATTTTCCATTACATCTGTAAGTAATAATATATCTTTTTTGTTATAAAGTTCAGTAAACTATCTCATACTTTTTAATTCGAATGTTTCCCATATATTTTTTAGTATTTTCATATGCTTTTTATGTTTAAAATTTTTGAAAATGATGTATAATTTTCTTACTATTTGCATCTATTTTTATATTATATTTATCTGTACCAAATTCTTTTATGAACTTTTAAATACTTCATCAAATTAATTTTATCATTTTTTATATTTACTAACCCTGTTTGCATCTTTTGTCACTTCTGTCAAAGCAGCAAGAATTGACCAAAGAAGAAATTTATTATCTTTATTTTCAATATTGATAATAGTTTTTTATCAGATCTTTTTTGGTAATTTAATATATGATGCTTCTTTAAGTGATTTATAACTATACATATTTATGTTCATATTTATAACCTGGTTAAATATCCAATCAGAATCCTCATCCAAAAATACATCTTCTCGAGATTGTATTTTTTCTTTCACATTGTTATAAAAATCATTGAAATTAGTAAAATGAAGGAAACGTTTACTTTCTGTTCTAAAACCTATATAAAGTACCATATCTGATCATTTTTCTTGTTGTATTTACAATTTACTATAATACTTATTTTAAAATTACCCATCTTTTTTAAATATTCTATTATTCTTTTTCTCAACAAATTCTTTTGAATAATACAAAAAATGATTTATATCTTTAAATTGACGTTTATTTTCAAAATTAAATGATAATATTCTCATTTTAAAAACAGATCAAATTTTGCTAATATCAACAATTTTTAAAGTAGAAGGTCTTTCTCTCTCAAATAAACTATCATTCAGTTTCGCAAAAACTTTGTGTGTTGGAATCTTATTTTCAAAATATGTTCTGCTATGATCAATTATTCTAGTTAATTTATTCTCAGTAATACCTTTAAAAAATTTGCAGAAAACTCTGTGAAGTTTTACTGTTCTCTCTTTTCTAGATTTTGAGATTCTATTTACAATTCATTGTATAGTTTTTTCATGAAATCTAGGTTCAATAATTACATTTAGATCATTTCTTTGATGTCTTGATGATCTTAAATATTTAGACCAATTTTTATATGTGGTTGTTATATTACATATATTACTTATCTTTCTTAAAGTTGCTGCAACATTATTATTTTCTTCCATTTTATTATAAGTTATATTTTTTTAACTAAGGTTCAATTTTCAATTTCAATTTCTTTTTTTCAAATTCATTTTTTAAATAAGACAATCTTGTTTAAAATATTTCTTTCGCATCATAATTTTGTATTTCCTCGTTTCCTACTTCCTTCAATAGTTTCATTATTTAAGTTTATAATTTTATAAGTAATTACATTTGTGTTCAATATTTCTGTTACAATAAATATTTCTCGTGTCCAATTAGAATTAAATTTGTTATCGAACGATTTCCTCAACTTCTTTATTCTAATCCTATCATCAATCTTAAATTTAATTTTGATTTAGATATTTCATTAGGGAATAATTAATTTAAAACTTTTCCTCGTTAGATTTGTTTACTTCAAATGGTATTATTCCAATTGTTCAATGAATATCTTTGAAATTGTATTCATTTAATTAATCTTGTAAAATATCAATCCATCTTTTATTTTTTTGAACTTAAAACTGTATTCTCATTTTACTATTTAAAGTTCTGTTGAAACGTTCAATAATTGCAGATTTTTCTTCGTTTTGTGTATGATATAATTTTATATTTATTACAGTGTGTTTTTTTTTTTTTTTTTATAATTACTTATTTATATTTTACAATCGCTGTTACTATCTAGTTTATTTATTGTTTGATCACGGGTTTACGTTTTAGGATTTAAGGTTTATAATTGATAATGAAGAAAAAGAAAAGAATATGCGTTAAATAATTTGGTTTAGCACATTTTGATAAATAATAATAAAATATTTGGTTTGTTGGTAGTGACAGCGATTTTTTTATAGTCTCTTTATTTTATTCTGACGATTTTATCATTGAATCGATGTTTTTTATTTCATCCTTATCATTCCATCCCATAATTACGCCACTGCTTCATCAATAAATAAATAATTTTTTCAATAATGAATTTTGTGGATACTGTTATGAATGATATATTCTAAAATATTACTTTGTCCTTATTTTTTCACCCTTTTGTTTGGGGTATAACTACTACTACATTTCCTATATTAAAAATTCTATCATTAATTTTAATTTTTTATATAGATTACATATTATAATATTCTTCTTGTCGTGTCATTCTTCATGTTATCTTTCCTTCCCAATAATAGGTACTATACAAACTTGACAAAAAAAGTGTTTATAGGTAGGGTGGAGTCACCTACTATGACTACTTTAGTATTTTTTCAGATAAATCATACGTATGCAATTTATTATATAGTTAATAGTTTAGCCTATTCCTACATTTTGACCATATTATGATGATAACAAGTATGCTACTAGATTCAAATTTCAGGTATAAAATTATAGTATCCAGTGAGAAATAGTGTTTTTTTTTTATATACCTATTTCTCCTTTTATGGCCAGCAAACGCCACCAGTAATTTTAATATTTTGTGCTGGTGATCAAGTTGATAATTATAATATAATAGATAGGTATTGGTATTAAGCCTTGGTTGGCATTTGCAAACTCGCAAACACGGTTATAAGTAATCAAACTATAAAAAAAAATTAGTACATTTTTACTTAAGTTATTAGTTATTTACTAGTATTAATTGGATAATTACAATTATCCATTAACTTACTTTTGTACAAATGTAATGTGTCTGAAAAGTTTAAATATATTAAACTATATTGTTTAAAATACCGAAATATTAAGACTGAATTGTCAATTTATTTGTGTTGTTTAAAATGTTTATTTGTTTCCAATTATAAAATAAAATATAAACAATTGTCTCATATTTAATACTACTGGTTTGAAAAAAACCTTAATCACTTTTTCAAATGTTTTAAAATTATTTTATTTAAGATTCTGAGTTTAGCAAAGAATGTATTGGTTTTACATGGTTGTTAATTTTTTTTTTATACTGTGTACGAAAATTCTATCAGATATCTTGCTCTGAAGTATCAAGTAGAGAACTTTTTCTAAAAGTAATTTCTCCTAGGATTATACTCTAAGCAGGTCATTTTTTGATTATCCCATGAGTTTTCCCAATAAATGGGAAAAAAATAGTAAAATGTACAAAATGTAGGTATTAGGCGCAAGCCAAAGGAGTAAAACTGTGTTGGACAGTGTTAGGATAGTGTTAAAACTGTCTTAAAATAAAATGTAGGAAATTATATTGCATACTGATAAGACAAAGGTAAAATAAAACGTTTTTGCTTTAAACACAATAATAATTCATGACTGAAGTGTTCACATTTTACATTAGACACAACTAGACAAGAAAGAAAACTTGTGTCTATTTTTCGCATTTCATATTTATTTTTAATAACATTTTAGATTCTGATTCTTCGGAGCGAAGAAGCTTATAATTTTACAAAGATGTTTTTTTTTCTATTCTGTATATAAAAATTCTACCAGAAATCTTGCTCAGATATATACGAAGGAGTATTAGTTAAAATAAATTTTAGTATTGACATTTTTAATTTTCGTTGATCCGTTGACGAGATATTAAAGTTTAAAATTTAAGTTGGTGAAGAGTAGTAGAGTATCATTAGTGTGGCGGCAGTACGGCATGTGACATATTGATAATGCACCATGACTCTCTTCGAACGCAAACTTAAAAGTGAAATATTTCGTTAACGAATCGACGGAAATCAAAAATTTCATCACTAAAATTTGTTTTAATAATAGTCAATCTAATTATAAATTTTTAATGTATGTTGCCATTTGAAAATCAAAAGTAGGTAGTTGTTTTACCCCCAAAAATAAGGGTAACAAAAAATGACATAAATATAAAATTGTAGAGCAGTTTGTTTCTTAAATGTTTAAAAAAAATAAATTCCGGAAAAAGTTAATACTTCCGAGATAATGAGTGTACCCACTTAATTCGTAAAACCAACTCATGTAAGTCCGTCTTTTTTAATGTATACCACATGCAAATTACATTTACAATGACAACTTATTTTTGTTTTGTCTAAGTAAGGTGCACTTTACAAGAACAAATTGATTTTTGTTGAAAATGACACTGATATACATTAAATTTTCCCTTTACCTTCCCAACTTTTCACTTAAAACAGTGGCCCACTCACGTGCGAAATATATTCATTTTTTAAATTTGTATGTTTAAAACAACGGTTTTTTAATGTTGTTTAAATCATTTATTTTAAACAAAACCGTGTTTGTTTAACTGAGATGTTTTAGACAAGTATTTAAAACAAAAAGTTTTAAACTTATCAATCCTGTTAAAAATATTGTTGTAATATTTATCACATTGAATATCTGTCTCTGTAGTGGTTTTTTTTATTAATTATCTTTTTTTAAATTGGCCCATTTTATCTTCCATATAATAAGTTGCTTATAATCAAGGCCATATCTGAGGAGAATCAAAGGGGCCAACAACAACAACAATATTAAATTAATTGCATAAGTTATAAATATTAATATGCCATACTGTCATCCGTAAGACTGTGACTTTCACGTCGAATAGTTTTTCTAAATTCATCGAACT